ATTTTTATACTCTGTAGTGTTTATAAAAACGAAAAATCCGCTTCTACCCTGCAAGGGTTTTTATAATTTTTCTCTCTGTTTGGTGAGCTATTGTTGTTGGGTTTTTTTGTTTGTTTTATTTTAATTCTATTTCTTTTTTTTCTTTGTTTGTTTAAAATTAAATTGATACTTAGTAAGATTTTTTTTTAAAATACAATTCTACTCAACGAGGGTTTTACAGTTTTCTCCCTAGTCAGTCCGATAGGGTTGCTTTTTACTCATTATTTTCTATAGATTAGAAAAAAAATCACTATCCAGCATGGCCTTTGTAATTTTCTCTTTCGCAAATAAGTTTTGTGCAGGTCTTCTCTTAAATTTCTGAAATAATCCCATTGTACTTAGTGGGGATTGTAAAACAGTCCACTTTTACTCAGTAAGGATGTCGTAATTTTCTTTCTTGCCGGTAAGGTTTCTTTTAAAAAAAACAACTCTTGTTCTGATAATGTTTTGCTTAGATTTGGTATTCCCCGGGAGCGTGTTCTTGGACCTGTCTTGTTTGCAATGATATTTTAAGACAATGTGCCTTGAAGAACCATCTTTATGCCAATGACACTCAGATTTATTAAGTCTAAAGATTTAGATCAAATATCACTATAAGTCCACTTCACTGAGCAATGTAATATGTAAATAAAATAATGGATGACCAGTGCTAAATTGAAACTTAAATGATGACAAGACGGAAATAATGTTTAGTGGAAATACAAAAGCAATTACGAATCTTCAAGAACAACAAATTGATATCAATAACCATACCATTCGTTCAAAAAGAAGTCTTAAAAATCGAGAGAAAGAGAGAGAGAGAGAGAGAGAGAGAGAGAGAGAGAGAGAGAGAGAGAGAGAGAGAGAGTCCCTCCATGATGCCAGGTGGTGGTTTTGAACAGGTTTCTACTTAATTTACGTCTCTCTCGACACAACTTAGATCATTTCGACCTTCTCCCTTATTCTACCTCGTGTTACGCCTGTTTCGTTCTCATTTGCACCATTTCGTTCTTGTTGGCTTCCTACCTCTCCCCCCTATTCTCTTCCCCGCACAAGACATACTGGAATATAAAAAATCAAGCAAAAAAAAACAACAACAAAAACAACAAAACAGCAGAAAGAAACAAAGAAACAGAAAAAAAAGATAGAAACAAAGAAAGAAACAATTTTAAAACTCTTTCTTTTCATTTTAACAAATTAATAAATCTCCAAGGTTACACCCGCATCATCCTGCTAACGTCTGCTTCCCTCCACTCCCGCTTCCTGAGCGTACAGGGGAACCCTTGGACATATTCTCAACAACAACAACACCGTCAACAACAGCAACACCATCAACAACAACAACAACAGCAACAACAGTAACAACAACAACAACAACACCAACAGCAACAATAACACCTTCTACACCACCACCACCAACAGTAACAACGCCGGTACCACCAATATCATCAACGGCAACAGAAAAAGCAACAGTAAAGACAACTGCAACAACTACAGAAATACCAACGCCAATCCCTGCATCATCATCATCATCATCATCATCATCATCAACAGATGTTGTCTTGGGCGGAGAAAAGGACAATATACTCCCCAGTAACCTTATCAGGTAAGGGATTTCTCATCATCTCTACCACCCACCCCCTCCCAACCCCC